GATTTTTAGCCCCTTGTAACACTATGAACCAAATCAATCTTGCTCTATGCTCTGTGTTCCTCTCTCTAACAATTTTGGTGTCCACATTTCACACAGTAAGAGAGCACCAGGGAGAAACAGTTACAAGCATGAAACCTGGTCATGGCAGGCACATGGCTTTCTGTGACTAAGTAGAAGTTTCACATGAGGATATGCAGTCTTCCTGCTAACCTCAGGTGGAAAGGATTTGGTTTGCAGTAAAAGTTTTATGGATTTTTGGATGCAATGAAAGATCTGGGGGAACATAAGGCTGCAAATGCTTTTAATCTTCAGGTATATATCCTCAGGACAGGATACAGTGCGCATCGTGATTTCTTTATATTACTTTTCCTATCCATCACTTCATCTCACTCTCTGAGACTAAATTTTGACTTATCTGTTTCATGTATTTTGCTAATATCACCCTGGTATTTGGATAAACAGTGACAGGTGAAAGCTACATGCAGGTAGGCCTCCCTTCCTCAGATCAGAAAATTGATTTTTCAGGAAAGTAACATACATCCTAAAAACCCCTGAAGAAGCCTGAGAATGACTTGGGAAAAACAGTGTGCCCGCAGACCCTAATAATTCACTGACATCTCAGTGAGGGAAACTGCATCATCTACATGCAATACTGGCAATATTTCTACTGGCAAATTTTCTGAATACTGGAAATATTTTTGAAAAAAATCCTCATTATAGAATCATAGAATCACTAAGCTTGGAAAAGACCTCTAAGATCATCAGGTCCTTATTTTGTCACCAGCAGAAAACTGTCCAGACAGATGATGTATTAGCTATCTTCAGAGGTATTTCATTAATATGGGCAAATCCTTGGTTGTAAAGAAGTTAGTAGCTTCATCAAGCTACATGAGATGAAGTACTGCTGATAGGGCATTAGAAATAAAAGGTGGAAGTGATTACAAATGAAGAATGTTGCTGATCCTTATAAGAAGAATGAAAAGCAAAAGTCAAACAAACAGAATCAGTGTTGATTTTCAAAAATCATTTCTAAAAGATTTGGGCCTATGGCTACATGACCATACACTAAAATTTTTCCTCATACTAATTTTTGCATGATATTGTCCATTTAACTTGCAGTCAACAGACTTTATTTAAAGAAACAGCACCAAGAGAGTCCTCTGTTAGGAGCTATTCACACCAACTTAGTCTGTGTATTGACAAGTGCTTTTCCAGAAAACAAGATGTCACAGCTGTTCATGGTTTTGCACCCAACAGGCCAAAATGATGGAAGTAAACGCCTAATATGCTTGTTGATTCACTGACCAGGCACCAGGGCAGGACATGCAAAGCATGTTCCTGCAGAGGAACACTGGGGGTAAAAAAATGTCTAGATATTTGTCACTAAGCAAGATTTTGTGATTGTGTAAGCAACAATGAGACCTAATTCAAAACTTACTGAAGTCAAAGAGTCACACTGACTTCAGCGAACAACGCAGCCATCCTAAACAAAGATGAAACTACTAAGTTTTTCTAAAAGATCCTTTCAGAAGGAAGAGCTGCAGTTTCAAAGGTGAACAGGAAGGACCTGGTATATTATTTCATCTCTAACCTCAAATGTATTTTGCCTCTTCACTCATATTGACCAGTTGCAGCCTTTTTCTCCCTATTTTTACTTAAAAATAAGATTAATATAGTATTTCTGCATCTTACCAAGATAATATTTGTGAAGTTATTTGAGATCTTGTCATGAAAGAACTGAAAATCCTTATTGGTACACATGAACTATGACCTTACTAAATGGTACCCTGTAATTTGGTTTTAATTTAAAAATAACCTCCTTTTACACAACTTAAGTACGAGACAACATTATTACAAGATATTCTTTTCAGGTTTTGATAGTGAAGTTTTAACTCTTTGGATTTAAATTTCTCAGGTTGCAGGTGGAATTTATTCGACAAGTTTCTGGGGAAAAAGAAAACAAAAGAGTAATTTCTAAGAAAAGGGTAAGAAGTGCTTTTTCTTACAATACTAAAAAATTCATATGCTAGAAATTCCCAATGAAAATGGGTAATAAATGCTTTAGAGCTAGGACTTGCGATCTGATAAGGAAAATTGCCCAGATTTCAAGGCCTCCTCTCATGTACATGACTTGAATCTTGTCAAATTAAAGTTCCATAAATGAGTTGTGGCCTCCATAAGCTCAGTACGGGAAAAGATCAAGCTATAGGGCCAGAAACATCTGAGACAACAAGAGCCAGTGACCTCAGAAGCTAGACTAGAGCTCCATGCCTGGGTCTCTGGCACTCTTCTGCTCAGAGGGAGTAGCTTCCACGTGTTCTGCAGATGTAGGCCCTGTTCTCTCTCCAAGGCTGACATAGCAGTACAATCACCTACACTTGTTCTCAGTTACTCTTGTTTTTCAAATGGTAAAATAAGGGCTATGAATATAAATATTTCAGGTTTAATAAACTGTGCAGTAATAATATTCTATATATTTAAATTTGAGGGTGGGTGAAAGTGTGTATTTCAGGAGATGCATAACAAGAAAATTATATCCAAAAGACTATGTGAAAGAAACAAGAATTAAGCATGACAGAGTAACCCTGTAATTCTGTTTCCATGGAGTTATGCCTTATAATATTTAAGTTGTGTTCAAGTACTACTTTCTGACAGGACCACTGGCATACCTTACTTCTGTGATATTGATTTATCTTCTCTACCTTTGGAACCAAAGGATTGAGTAAAGAGGTCATATTTCCAGCAAAATCTCTGCCCCTAGGAAAAGGGCACATCTCTACACTGACCCAAACTTGTATTACTGTAGCTCCAGGCAGGGGTCACAGTCTTTGCTGGTGGACAACCGGGAAAGAGCAGTCAGAACACAGCTGGTTTTAAACTACGATGTCATGTCCATTTGAGGGTAGCCACCTTATCATTTGGTACCCAAATCAAGATGTAATCCTTCTTCATAAGAAAGAACTGCTGATGGTCCTATGAAACTGACTAATGAAAATTAATTTTCCATCTGTTATAGTGAGACAAAGACTGTTCTTGCATTTACTTCTCTAGTAGAATACGCTGATGGCCTAATTTATTAGAAGTTGAAAAAATTAGGAATTTGGGGCTTGGGAGACAGAACTCCACATTTACAATCATCCTGAAAACATGATTTTTCAGCTGCAGATTACCAGCTGTTCTTCGGAGACACTCTATGAGCCTGGGCCTTCAATGGCCTAATTATTCAGTCTTTCAGTAATCTGCTGTTTTCCTTGTCCTTTGGTAAGATAAGGAAACTACCTACTTTTTGACAGTGCCCTCACAAACATCCTATCCTCAAAAAAGGAGGGAAAAAACCCCTCATCTATGTGGAATGCAGGAAACACTTCCAATCATGAATAGGTGCATACAGATGATGTACAGTAAGAACACATATAATGTTTTTTCTATTTTATAACTTGTTGCACTTTCATGTTTGTAACATAACAAGGAGCATATATTTTAACTATAAGGTTGAATGCCTTGTGATCTAATATTCAGTGCAAGAAATAGTGTTACAGGATTGATATGGCTGTGTTAATTGTACACTGCTTGTGAAATTAAAAAGTTTTGTTTCTGAACTTTATATCCTTTCAAACATGCAATAGCTTGCACTATATCATGCCTTAATTTAATCTGTAAGTATATAACATGTATGTGTACAGTTGACTTATTTTCCCACAAGACAACTTTCTGGTGTTCTGGACAGTCATAAACTTCAGTTTTCAAACCCCTCATTTGCTTCCCTTCTGTTTGTTTAGAATGAGTAAACAAAGCAAACTGATCTTTTTCATAATGCATTCCTTTTTCCTCATTCCATTGTGAAATAATATCTTAAAAATCAAATATTTGCATAGGAACTTGCACGTGACCAGAAAACTCTTTTCTAACCCAGTTTGACAAAGGTTTCTAACTGCTCTGAACTGCCGGATATAATAGGACATTCAAACACATGTACAACATTTCTTGGAATACTATGTGGGAAAAAATCTCTTAGTATTTGGTTCCGTGGACCTCTCCTCTCTAACACACATATTCTAGCAGCATGCTGGGACTGCATTCCAAAAGAGTCATCTTGATGGCTCCTTTTAGTTCACCTCCCTGGAATAATGCCCTCTGGTACACGGCTCAAAAGTACACGCTGGCTTTCCTCTACTGGGCAACTCAACAGTTGATTCTGTAAAGTCAGTTCCACAGAACAAACAGTGATAACTGATCTTATTAGCCTCTTTACTCTCCCGAGAACCTTTATGTAATGTTGCATTAGTCGCCTTTACTAAATTAGAAAACCGGAAGGGAAGATAAATCAATATGAATGTACGTTTGTTGATATTGATTTTTCCCCTCATAGTCAGCATGGGAATATTGTGGCTCCTATTAATATAAGGAGTGGGAAAGCTGTAAACGGTTCTGTCTGGATAATTACCCAGTAGTTCTGGAAACTTATTCAAACTTCTTTAGTCCGTCATTTTGAACTAGACTTTTCATGAAATCAAATCCTTCTCAGGAATAATCGTGTTCAGATGTTGATGACAATTTCTTGATGCAGATTATCAATGAGCTGACTAGGAGAGGCATTCAACCTGTTACTCATGAAATAGAATGAAGAGCTGGGCAATGGAAAGGTCAAGGGCAGCCTAGGCTGCAGCAAACATGATATTCTGCCCTTCAATATCCTGAAAGAAGTGAGCAAGGGAAAAGTTGAAATCACAGCTCTGGAATTTGGGATACATTTCAGCTTGTTTAGGAACACGCTGTGTAGGATCCCACAGCAGACTGCCCTGCAGGGCAAAGTGGCCTAGGACAGGCGGTTGGTCTTTTCCAGTGCACAGGAACAGGCCGTTCTGACAGGCAGGAGTGAAGCAAGCATGACAGAAAACTAGCATGGATGAACTGGGAACTCCCACCTGAGCTTCAATGCAAAACAGTAAGTATGCAGCAGGTGGAAGCAGCAACAGGGTACCCAGAAGGAATATATAGACATGGCCCAAGGATGCAGGGATGGAGTCGGGAAAGCCAAGGCTCAGAGGGAGTTGGAAATAGTGAGAGATATGAAAGACAAGAAGGACTTCCGTAAGCACATTAGCAGCAAAGGGAAGGCTGAGAAGAACGTGGACCCATGGCTCAGTGTGGCAGGCAAACCTGTGGAAAAGGACATGGATAAGGCTGAGGTATTCAATGGCTGTTTTGCCTTACATTCAGTTTTTTTTCTTGCTAGTAAAGTTTGTCTTTAGGCCTTCCAGGTCTCCGAGCCCAGTGGCAGTTTGCAGGAGTGGGAGCATTTAAGCCAGTTGGACATATGCAGATCCTTGGAATGACATGACCCATATCTGAAGGTGTGGAGAGAGGTGGCCAATGTTACTGCAAGGCCATTCTTTCACTTTTGAAAGGTCATGACTATCAGGGTAGGTTTTTGATAACTGGAAAGGCAAACATCACATCCATCTCCAAGAAGGAGGACCCAGAGAACTGTAGGGCAGATAACCTGCCTTCAATTCATGGGAAGATTATGGAGTAAGTCCTCACAGCAGCCATATTCAAGCACATGAAGGACAAAAAGGAACAGACAGACTGGATTCATGAAAGATAAAATGTGCCAGACCAACCTGACTACCTTCTGCAGTGAAATGACTGGCTTTGTGGACAGGGGGAGAGTAATGGGTGTCAATCACCTTGACTTTAGCAAGGTCTTTGACAGTCTGCTGTAATATTTTGTAGCCAAATTGTAGAGATGTGGACTGAAGAAGTAAGAAGGATGAAAATTTCCCCAGACTGGCATGTTCAAAGGGTTGTGATCAGCAGCATGAAGTCCTACTGGTGGTCAGCTACTAGTGACGTATGTCCCTCAGGTATTGCAATTAGGGCCAATACCATGTAACAACTTTATTAATAATCACAATTATCTGAGGGAGTACACTCTCATCTAGCTTATGGATAATACCAAACTGGGGGAGAAACCAATATGCTGGAAGGCAGAGCCACTATCCAGTGGGACTTCAGCAGTCTGAAGAAATGCACTGACAGGAACCATACGAAGTTCAACAATGGCAAGTGCAAAATCCTGCACCTGGGATGGAATAATCCCATGCACCAGTAGAGGCTGGGAAGCGGCTTTGAAGAAAAGGACCAAATGTCCTTGTAGACAACAAGCTGAACCGGAGCAAGTAGCATGCCCTGGCTGTAAAGAATGTCAACCACACCCTGGACCTAATTAGCAAGAATGTTGCCAGCAGGTCACAGGGAAGTCATTCTGTGCAACCACAGCTGGAGTACCCTGTCTAGTTTTGGGCTACTCAGTTGTCCTAGTTTAACCCAGCAGCCAGCAACCAAGCACTAGACAGCTGCTCGCTCACCCCTCCCCTTAACCCACAGCAGGATGGGGAAGAGAAATGGACAAAAGGGGAAACTCGTAGATTGAGGTAAAGACAGTTTAATAGGACAGCAAAGGAAATACTACTACTACCAACAATAAGAATGAATATGCAAAAAAGCTATTTACAACACAATCTTTCTCGCCACCTGACATCTGATTTGCAGCCCAAAAAGAAGTTTGAACTCCCAGCCAAAAGAGGAGTCAAAACTCCCGGAACTGAGAGAGCAAAATAGCTTCCCACTCACCCCTCTGCCAACCCCCATTCATAAACTGAGGGTGACGATTACCATACGGAATGTTTCCATTGGCCAGCTGGGCTATCTGTCTGGCTGTGCTCCCGCCCAGCTCCTGCAGACCTGCTCGTTAGCTGAATATGAGAAACTGGAAAAAGTGCTTGATTTCATAGCAACAACTGAAAAGATCAGTGTTATCAACATTCTTCTTGTACTAAATCCAAAACACAGCAGATACTGAGAGGAAAATTAACTCTATCCCAGCTGAAACCAGGACATCAGTACAAGACATTGACATACTGGAGGAAGTCCAGAGCCTCTAAAAAATATAGGGGGCTGAAGCACATGACATATGAGGACAGGCTGAAAGAACTGGGCTTGTTAAGCCTGAAGAAGAAGTGACTAAGCTAGACCTTACTGCTGTCTTCAGGGATTTAAGGGGAGGGTATAGAGAAATTGATGCCAGCCTCTTGTCGGAGATACATAGTACAAGGACGAAAGGCAGCAGACAAGTCACAAAGGAGGAAATTCCAATCAGACATAAGGAAAATAATACGGAAAAGCACTGGAACAGGTTGTCCAGAAATGCTGTGTAGCCTCCATTCATGTTGCTACTATTTTTGCTTTAAATCAAAGATCTGTTCAGAGTCACTACAGAAAAGGCAAATTTGGGATCATTTTTTTCTATTACTGTAGCAGTTTAAGTACAAAATTCTCATTCACAGAACAAAGATCATATTCCTCAGTACTGCAGAAACCTGAGAATCAATGAAACTACAAACTTAACATGGTTATAATTTTCTCTTAGCATAGCAAGATGAATTTGCCATGTGAAATGGAAAGTCCATAAGCCAAGCCATCTTCTTCACTTACACTGAGTGAAAACGGAGTCTCCATTGATGGAGTTAATGCAGATAACCAAATACCAAAGGAAATAAAACATCAGAAAAGCTTTACTTCATGTCATTGCTTAACATTTTTAGTGACGAATAAAATGAGCCCCACTTCCCTTTTAGGCCTGTTTTGGGTTTGTGGGTTTTTTGGGTTTTTGTTTTGGTTTTTTTTTTTATATATATAAACACACATACATGTATTATCTAAAGCCCAGACAAAGCAGCTTGGTTGTTATAATTTTTGCAAACAGCAATATCCAAGATAGAACGTTAAAAATAGTACCCTACGCCTTTTCTTCCCTCTACATTCTAAGTCGCATTTCAAAGACCAGTCTATATTAACATACAGGTACTTATAGGATAAAATGTAACTGCTACTTATCAGTTGGAAGCAATGATACTAAGACATTTTAAAATGTTAGACTGTATCATCTCCCTTGTAACTGCACAGGCAGCTTCTGTATCTTGTGGCAACTGTTGCCAAGTGGTAGGGAAAAGAGAGATGCTTTCTAGCAGGCTATGTGCTTTCCTAAGTGCTTCCTCAGTCATTACAACACTTCTCTTGCTGGTCAACCAGCCTCTCATACAGTTCTTAAGTCTGTGTCCCTTTCTTCCTCAAGCAGGCAGAGAAAATGCCAGTTGTGCTGTATGCCTCAGAAGCCATGCGGAGACAAAGAGACAGAAAACGTACATGATGCAGTATCTGGTTCCTAACTGCTCAGTGCTGCGTGAGGAGGCACTCTCCATACGTTCTGTTCTGTAACAGCAACCACTTCCAACTAGGTTACGTGCCAAGCAGCGATTAAAGTGACCTAAAAAGTGGTCGTGGCAGAAGGGCAGTTTCCAGTAATGACGGCACTCTGTTTACCCATCCTTATTCTCAGCATTTCATTCCATCAAAACCTCAGAACACTCCTCTTACTCCGAGTTATAAAATCTACCTGAATTTTTATGCCGCAAGATCTACACAACTCTGTTCTGTCCACTTCATTTTTATTCCTAGCAGGTGTCTCCTTCTGGCTGCAAGCCTCCTTCAGTTTTACCCCCATGCTAATCCTGCCTTCCATTCCACCACGGCAAGCCTCGTCCCACCTCAGCTCTGCCTCCTGTACTCCATCTCATAGTTCCTGGCTCTTCTGTCCCCTCATCTCATCAGCTGTGACTCCTTGTCCATTCTGCTTCCCCAGTCTGCACGCTCATGTATTATATCAACAATAACACAATACTATCACTAGTTCTCTTCCAATCCTTATCTCTTCTTTCTAATCCAGTCTACCATGTCGTCTCACACATTTTCTGCCCCCCCCGCCTTTTCTTTTGGTGAACAGATGAAACCACACATGCCGGCTCTTGCGACAGAAAGGGGAAAAAAAATCATATTGATTAGAATGAGGACTAAAGGAGTTGTTTAAGATGTTAAACTCCTGTTTAACAGTGCATCCTCAGCAAGTTTGCAAATGACAAAGCTAGGAGATGTGGATGATACACCACAGGCATGCTGCCATCCAGAACAACCTCTGCAGGCTGGAGAAATGGGCCAACAGGAACCTCATGAAGTTCAACGAGGGAAATGCAAAGTCCTGCACCTGGGAGGAGCAACCCCATTCACTGGGAGCCACAAGCTGCAAAGCAGCTTGGCAGAAAAGGACCTGGGGATGCTGGTGGACATCATGTTGAACATGAGCCAGCAATGTGCCCTTGCTGCAAAGAAGGTGAACAGTTTCCTGGGCTGCATTAGGCACAGAATTGCAAGCAGGTCAAGGTAGGTGATCCTTCCCCTCTGCTGGTGAGGCCACACCGGGAATACTGGGTCTGGTTCCGGACTCGTCAGTACAAGAGAGATATGGACATACTGGAGAGAGTCCAGTGAAGGGCCACAATGATGATTAAGGGTCTGAAGCATCTCTCGCATGAGGAAAGGCTAAGAGAGCTGGGACTGTTCAGCCTAGAGTAGAGAAAGCTTATGAGGGACTTATCTTTAGATATAAATACCTGAAGGGAGGGTGCATAGAAGGCAGAGCCAGGCTCTTTTCAATAGTGTCTAGTGACAGGACAAGAGACAACGGGCACAAACTGAAACACAGGAATTTCCCAATGAACATCACAAAAGACATTTTTTCCCCCCGATGTTATTGTTTTTTGTTTTTTCACTGTGAGGGTGACAAAGCATGGGCACAGGCTGCCCAAGGAGGTTGCAGTATCTCCCTCATTGGAGCTTTGGAGGTTCGGGACAACCTGCTCCAGATGACACTGCTTGAGGGTGTTGGACAACACGACATCCAGAGATCCCTTCCAACCTCAACCATTCTGTGATTCAGAGAGCACCATGAAATACATTGTATCATCTGATCTGTTAATAACTGAACAGCCTCAGAATCCACATAAAACAGTTTCAGAAATATCTTTGCTTAAAGTTGAGGAGCAAGTCAAGAGCAAACAACACAAGCACCTAACAAAAATGTTCTGAACCTGTTTTAGTTTTACATGGTCTTGTTAGGTTTATGAGTGCTTAAAAGACACAGCAATTTCACTGTAGATCACAAAGCAAGTTCAGCTAAAAATTATATTTGTAAGATTAATTCAGGATGATAACAAAATCATGGCAAACCAGCAGGAAAAAAAAAGAGGAAGAAAGAAACTTTGGCCTGTTACTGCTGATTGGAAGTTTTTCT